TGGTCGCTATTTGATAATGGCTGTAATGCTCAAGACTACGGTGATTCTCATGATGATTTAGGTGGATAACATTATTATGATGACTCGTATGATGGTGACCTTCGTGCTGACTTATACGACGGTCAGTTCCGTTATGAACTCGAACGTGTCCACTATCATGGTGTTCGTCAAGACCCTATGGATGCCTCGATGGACCTTACATTTTCTATGTGCTTCTCCGTCACCATGATGGCCTCCGGCCGGTGACGGTCGGCTAAATCCAGCTAGAAAAGCTATGTCTGCTTAATAGAATAAAATAAGTTTAAAATAGGTTTTTGGTGCTTTGTGGTTCGGAATGCCTCATAACTTCCGATCCTAGACTCTCGCTTACCGTAAGCTGAGCGCACTTGGACTCGATGGAGATGACGTTAATATTGTGTAACTAACTATTTTGAAAGCGCATCATTACATACAATTAATTCTCAGCACGCTAGAAGGCACGTTTAAGTAGATACAATACTTCAATACCGACAAGCTAAAATACGCCTACTGCATGTAGACGGACCCGAATATATATAAGATCGCATATTTCTTGTAGCATTCTCCCAATTAAACCGATGCTTAATTTATTGACCACTTCCAAATAACCTATTCTAATAAAGCACTTTTAATAGACAACGAGTCGCGTGGCGTCATATTCATCACACAAAAATTACAACAAATCTAATCTACCGTAATCTAACGTAATCTACGGTGAAGTAGATTTTCGGTCAAGAAAGGGCGGAGCGCCTTCGACTCGGTGACCAAAAGTAACTTTGCTATCGGATTAGATTGACTGTCGAAGGTTTCGTATAGTTAAGATTCTGACAATAAAGAAAACTTACGAGCATCTAAAACAAATGGGGAACTGAGATAGGCACCTTCGGCTTGAACGGAATTTTCTCATTTCGCAAAAAGAGTTTCGATTCAGACAACGGTCATAAAAACGCTTTGGTTGTTCTCCGTTTCTTACATTGACGCATTTTGTTGCTAATAACACCGACGCTGACTTGACGGTCCATTCGCTCTTATGGCTTTTAATGTGGTAAGATTGCCCGTAAAGTTTTTTTTCTAACCAACAATAGGCAATTCAAAACACGTTGGCGAAATTTTGAACGAGATTTTTTTAATATAATCATTCTTTAATCAGATCAGCACAAATGGTACCTAAATGACTATATTTACATGTATAGAAGATATTATACAGCGCTATTTGACTCGAGTTTTATTTATCATTTTTACTTGCGCTGCATGTATATGCGAAAATGAAAATGGATGTGATTATACATATTAGTCCTATTTGAAAAAACTAACAACGTTCTGCTCTTTTCTGTGAAACATCCATGTCTGATAGTGTTAACTAGGTTGTATGCTTCGCGTAGCCATTACATCGGGCCTATTAGCTCAGTCGGTTAGAGCGTCGTGCTAATAACGCGAAGGTCGTAGGTTCGATCCCTGCTCATAGTGGTATCGACGCCACTGTATAGTCCTAGCCATGATATAATGTTATCATAAACCACAGCGGTCGTGTATATACACGTCTAATGCTCTGGCAAATTCATATTCACGCGTCTACATTTTCATGCATCTGTTATTGCCGATAATGATAGAGCCTGAAAAGCGTTGCTTTACTCTGAGATCTAACGTACAACTTTCGCGTTATCAGCTCGACACCAAACCGCTGAATTAGTGGGCTGTTTGCTAGGTACAGTCATGGCTGATATGGGATCCATAGTATGTTACAGCTTAATGATACAGCTTATCTAGCGGTCATACACTGAAAAGTTTCAAATTGGTCCTATACTAATCAATATAAGCATAATTAGTACTATTTTTTTTTAAAGATGTGACATTTATATCACACGAACTAATATTTAGTGTTTTTCGTCTGGTATCTATACCGTTAGACAATGCCTCGCACAGCTGGCTTCTCGTACGAAATGCTTACAACCAAATATGTCAACGCCTTAATCCAAACGTAAACTGCCACGTGTTCCCGTAAGGACAAAAAGGATTAATATATTGCAGCAGGTGCGAAATGGCTTATTCTAACCTGTTTATGGTCGGTTCTCGAAACGTTACTAATACATAAATAAGTAATAGTTACATGCGCAAAGAATGAGCTCACTTACGCAACATTTATTCGCAATGTATTCTATGCTTTCTACTGTAATAATGCCTTCGCTGGGCTTTCTACTTGTCTTACCCATTTTTTGACCATGTCAGAACTTTCACTGATAATTGCTATTTGGATAAGAACAACTTTCTAGCATAGCAACTCTGTGATGAAAGCTATATCAAAATTATACCACAGATTTGAACTTACCTCATTTTTGCGATGCAGTTCCGAGTAATTCTATACTTAAAATTCTTCTGTCGTTCTTCCGATTCGAGGGAATGCGTTAACGCTAATTATCGGTGACCTACAATATAATTAATTGAAAAAAGGTTTTCGCACTGCTTCCACCATCGACGTAGTTTAGGTCCCTCTACTGATATTTATAGGATTATGCGTGCGTTCTTATAACAGAGGTCTTGCTCCTTGAATTAGGGATCACATATATTTGTGCACCAGTACCTACAAGACTGAGTCTGTTCGCAAGAGTGGTAACACGTACACTTCTAAGAGATGATACGGGATCTCTTTGTTTCCTGATTGGACTCCCGCTTACTGAAATTCTATTTCGTTCTTGAAGGACTTTGATGTACTTTGTTGTTTATACAGAGGCGATCCGCGTTCAATATTAGCAAATATCTATGTTGGTAATCTGACGTATCGTCGATATATGTATCGCAGCACGCAGCTGTGTTCCAGACTCAAGCGTTGTTCAGTAAAATAATGGTGGCCCACGCAGGGATCGAACCTACGACCTTCGCGTTATTAGCACGACGCTCTAACCAACTGAGCTAGTAGGCCCATAGTGCTCGTGACTTCTGATGTAATAGCACAGAGTATAGCAAACAATGCCAGACTACCGTCGATTGTCTTTAGGTATCATAGCACGCGGCTATGTTTCAGGCTCCTCAAACGTTGTTCAAAAAAAAACTTTTGGCCCACGCAGGGATCGAACCTACGACCTTCGCGTTATTAGCACGACGCTCTAACCAACTGAGCTAGTAGGCCCATAGTGCTCGTGACTTCTGATGTAATAGCACAGAGTATAGCAAACAATGCCAGACTACCGTCGATTGTCTTTATGTATCATAGCACGCAGCTATGTTTCAGGCTCCTCAAACGTTGTTCAAAAAAAAACTTTTGGCCCACGCAGGGATCGAACCTACGACCTTCGCGTTATTAGCACGACGCTCTAACCAACTGAGCTAGTAGGCCCATAGTGCTCGTGACTTCTGATGTAATAGCACAGAGTATAGCAAACAATGCCAGACTACCGTCGATTGTCTTTATGTATCATAGCACGCAGCTATGTTTCAGGCTCCTCAAACGTTGTTCAAAAAAAAACTTTTGGCCCACGCAGGGATCGAACCTACGACCTTCGCGTTATTAGCACGACGCTCTAACCAACTGAGCTAGTAGGCCCATAGTGCTCGTGACTTCTGATGTAATAGCACAGAGTATAGCAAACAATGCCAGACTACCGTCGATTGTCTTTATGTATCATAGCACGCAGCTATGTTTCAGGCTCCTCAAACGTTGTTCAAAAAAAAACTTTTGGCCCACGCAGGGATCGAACCTACGACCTTCGCGTTATTAGCACGACGCTCTAACCAACTGAGCTAGTAGGCCCATAGTGCTCGTACTTCTGATGTAATAGCACAGATATAGCAAACAATGCCAGACTACCGTCGATTGTCTTATGTATCATAGCACGCAGCTATGTTTCAGGCTTCTCAAACGTTGTTCATAAAAAAAACTACCGGCCCACGCAGGGTCGAACTACGACCTTCGCGTTATTAGCACGACACTCTAACCAACTGAACTAGTAGGCCCATAGTGCTTGTCACTTCTGATGTAATAGTACAGAATATAGCAAACAACGCCATACTACCGCTGATTGTCTTCATGTATCATAGCACGCAGCTATGTTTGAGGCTTCTCAAACGTTGTTCAAAAAACTACTGGCCCACGCAGGGATCGAACCTACGACCTTCGCGTTATTAGCACGACGCTCTAACCAACTGAGCTAGTAGGCCCATGGTGCATGATATATGTAATAGCATTGAATATGGCAAATACTGCCGAACTATCGTCGATTGTCTTGATGCAACATAACACGCAGCTATGTCTTAGACTCCTCAAACGTTATTCAAAAAAGTTGGCCCACGCAGGGATCGAACCTACGACCTTCGCGTTATTAGCACGACGCTCTAACCGACTGAGCTAGTGGGCCGATAGCGTGTCTTACTTACGAAGTAATAGCATAGAATATAGCTAACACTAACAGATTATCGTCAATTATTTACACGTGTATCGCAGGACGGAGCCGTCCTTCAGCCTCGCCAAACATTGTTTAACAAAACACGGTTGGCCCAT